GTCCTCCATAAAATGTGCTGCACACATCTGAATATTTGGGTTGAAGTGTTCTGGAACAGTGTTGTAAATACAACTTAACCACTGATTTCTAGTCGTGTCCATTTTTGGAAGGCCAAATAAAGTAGTTTAGCTTTCACAACGCAACGTCACACACGGTGGCCTAGAGTGAGCAGAGGCGGCGGGCTTCAGAACGGCACGGCCGGCGGATTCGACGAAGGAGCGTCCAGAGGGCTTGCGGCAACCACATGTGACGACCCCGGGCTGGACTCCGCTTCGTCCACGGTGAAAGCCGATCCGGTGATCCACAGCGCAAAGTTGTTGTATTTCCTCAGCAACCAGCACGGATCAGCTCCAGGCATGATGAAGCAGATATTGTCCTCTTTTGGAAGACCAAACAAAGTAGTTTCGCTTTCACAATGAAACACACAGCGCCTTCACGACATGGCGGCGGCGGCAACAACAATACTACAGTAAGAATAAAAGTTACACCTTCTTTCTTTGCGTGAACATCTTCGTGATGTAGATATGTGGGGGCGTCTACTTAGAGGTACAAAATTGTACCTTATAACTTTGTACCATTTAAGGGCCAATTTTGTACCCAAAGGAACGATTGTGCACATTGCAAATGTACAAAATTGTACCTTTCATCCTTGGCGAGGATAAATAAATAATACTTCAGAAATTGGCTTACAGTTATGCAGATCTATTTATTTTTACAAAGATAATGAATTACATCACACCTTAGTACAGCAAGTGTCAAAAAACAAATGTTAACTGCACAGACGAACACATCAGACATTACTCAATAATAAACATACTCAGGGCCGTGCAGAGACCTTTGAAGGGGCAGGTGCTCAAAGTATAAAAGGGGCACATGGAGCCTGGCTTTTAATAGGGCTGTGCTCCTTGCTGAGACATGTACTGAAACGGATGCTTCTGTATTGATAGCAGCAAATGCCGTGATGCAGTTTTGAAAAAGAAACACAGAACAGAAAAGACCATTTTAAGTTTAAAAGTTAAATAAACTTTGCACCTCTTAATCACTCTGAAAATATAAACGGAATTAAATTAGGCCTATTGTTATTATTGAGTTTAGAGGGTATGGTGGTTCTACTGTTGTAAACACTGTTGTTGTAGAAAAAATATTTCTGTCTTATTTAAAATAGAATTATATTATAATCCTGTTCTGAATTTATTCATTTTTTAAATTATAATGATGATAAAAACAGGATTGATAAGTAGCCTATAAATCGGAGGATGAGAAAATCAGTATAAGCCTGTTTTATCAGGGTTGTGATAATTATTTTTAAGGCACTCTATGTTTTTAATATAAATACTGTAATAAAAAAAAGTTCAAAGTAATAGTTTTTTAGTCAGATAACATAAAGACAAGACCCATCGACGCCCTTTAAACTTTCCCCAATCAAACAGCAAGAACGAAAGAGAACAGGCACCTTTGTTTATATTGCTGTGTAGAACCTTAGCTGCATTTTTAATATTTAATTTTAAAGAAATGTAATTTCGTCCCCCGCACTTTATTCGGGCAGGTGTGTTCACGTAGAGGTTTCTAGATTTAAATTCAAAGAGACAGTAGCCTATCGATAGTCTATGCATGACCTGACGTTTTAGTCGTATCCAAAATGAGGAGAAGTGAATATCTGGAGCGCTAGACACTCTCATGCAGTGTATGTTTATTTCATACTTGAAGCCGGAGGGCGCTCTCCTACAGAAAGTCCAAAACAGACTCATAGAAGGAATGACTTATGACCTGTGCAGGAAAGCCTAATATGGACAAAAGCATCGGCTATCGCTGAAGCTGAGCTGAATAAAAAGCAGAAAAAAACGCGAAGACAATAAACACACAATTGCGAAAATATACGGTTTATGTGTGTTTTTCAAGTTATCTCCAGGTAATAAATAAACTTTATGAATAATGCAGTACTGATTGACATATCATTTAGTAGCCTATAGAAACTATACATTTCCTGCCTTATTCTGTGATAAAAGTGGGGAAAAGGTGCCCGTAGTAGTCTTTATAAAGCAATCATAAAATTGTCATTAGGAAAATATTGAACAAAAATATTATAGCCCCTTGCTGCAGCGAACCTTACTTCCACAGGCTACAAACAGCAATATAAACAACAGCTGTGCATGCTCTCTTCACACCAGTTCTTGAATAATAATAATAATTTAATAATATGTATACAAGCACACCGCTCCGCTGATAACTCCACTTACCGGCAGCCGTGGACATTATGAAGGCATGATGAGATCGTCAGGTGAAAGGTCATCATCATGTGGATAATTTTATTTACGACTAAATTATAAGTAATTCATTTTACTAATAGTTAGATTGGGCAGGCCTTCACAAAATGGCGTTTAATTACAAAAAAAAATTGCCTTGACAAAAGGGCACTTTGGGCATCAAGGGGAAAGGGGCATATAATGGCTCCTGAAGGTTTTCTTCTGATTAAAAGAATCACGCTTCAACTGATGTCTTAATGTTTAATGTCTTCTTTGCAATGAGTTTAAGTATCGGCGTCATCGCCATCTTGATCCTATTTCGACATCACTTGAACATCGTGACACCATTTGGATATCAACATCTTGACATCTTTACATCATGACACTGTGAAAAACTGAAACAAATACAATTACATTCAGATACATAACCTGTGAGTGTGTTTCTGTTTTTACTGCGGTTTAACCAAGTCTGCTTCTTACTGAACCAATATCAATACACACAGCACATTAACTTTGCAAATTAACAGATGAAATCCAAAGAATAAACAACATACCGTGTGCGCCTTCTAATCAGAAGTCCAGGAGACATTAGAGGACATTTATGTAGGCATTCCTTCTAACAAATGATCTAACAATCGAACAGCTCTTAGCATTTGTGCATTTCTTTGTGGATCTGATACTCACATGACTAGATCACGTGACAAATTCAACTAACGTTACACATATTTCACCTGCAGGTGTCACTATTACCCAGTATTTATAATACTCAAATACAATTTCCAAATGAACATTCATAATACATTACACACCATTTGTGAACTAAATACCTTTTCACAAAATAAATGACTGAAATACATAAAAGAAAATACAACCTTTTCTGCGACAGCTACACTGCCACCAAAATTACAAAGATTTGTGTTCTGATCAGAATCAAATAAATCTGGTAATTTTTCTATAAGCTGACACTTAACAACCTTTGAACACCTTTCAATACCTTTGTAACAAGAATTATTATTATTTAATTTTACTTGATTCTTCTTGACCAACTCTTATTTAGATGGTGAGATATCTATTTTGTATTATTTAGTCATTGTTTAGGAATTGTTCTCAACTATTATCACCAATTTTTGAACTGGATGCTCAAGGAAAGATGTTTGCGTCAAGCGTTCACCTTTCTTTCCCAAATTACTTTGACCCATTTGGAGTTTAGCTTTCCGCACTAAACCATCATCGTCTGCACTTGTCTCAACGACTCTAGCTAGCTTCCATTCATTTCTGGGAATATTGTCCTCTTTGACAATTACTACATCTCCAACGTGAACATTTCTTCTAGGCGTATGCCACTGTTGTCTGAGGCTTACGTTGGGCAGATATTCTTTGCGCCATCTGCTCCAAAACTGTTCAGACAAATACTGCAC